ACATAGCTGAGCATTTAGTTAATGCTCCAGATACTTTTCTCGGGGGTTGAACCAGACTAAAAAAGGAGAATTAAGATCGGACTTAGATTCATCATGACATAAACATGATTCCTTGCCATATCACCTTTACTGTGATTGTACTGTATGTTAATATTGTGTTCACAGCCTTTTGCACTACCCCTAAGTGTACAGAAAAATCAGCTAACACAGGTTTAAACATTATCAGCAAATGTTTATAATAAACAATTCTGCATTAGTAAATTTCCTCTCCTATCACTGTAAACACTGTTTAAAGACGAAGAGAGCAGAAAGCATGCACAGCAATAAGAAATGTGTTGCTCTAGGTTGGAATACTGTTATGAAAGTGAAGGACCTGCGATCAGACTCCTGTGTTGGCAAGCAGCCGCCCTGCTCAAGTGTTGCTGAGTGACACACTGGTGTCCAATTCTAGCAATGTTTTTGCATGTTGAAGCCTGACCTCTGAACTTTCCCTAATTTCTAATCTTCTTGAGTGGAGGAGGAAGAGGAAAAATGATATCAAATACAGGAAGAAATAAAGGTTAAAGAGTGACCCTCTTCTTTCATAGAGAGCAGAAGGTGTTTATTCACGGTTTTTCACGATTCAGTCCTGGCCGTGGAACAATGGATCGACTCTACCCTTGCAAGGCTACTGTAGGGGTCATGGGAGTTTGCCCGTTGAGCTCTCAAGCAGTCTTGTTGGGGGTGCTGTGGGATCACAGGATACTGGGGCTGTTGTTATGTGCCCTCCGGTCCTTATATAACCGCAGTGAGAGTTGTGCCTGTATTCTCAGCAAGAAGTCAAGCATGTTTCCAGGGAGTGCTGGCCCCCATCAGGATTGCCCTCGGTCTCCAATCCTGTATGTGATTCTCATCGACAGGATCTCGAGGCGCAGCTGTGGGGAGGAGTAGGTCTGGTTTTGTGACCTCAGAATGTGGCTCTGTTGGTTTCATCAGACTGTGACCTCCAGCATGCACTGCAGCAGTTTGCAGCTGAGTATGAGGCCATGTCTTTCTGCTGGAAAGCGGTGCATTGCTTCCACCTTGAGGTGCTGCCCCAAGCAAAGGAGTTTAAATATCTCAGTGTCTTGTTCACAAGTGAGAGTAAAATGAAGTATGAGACTGGCAGACAGATTTATGCAGCATCAGCTGTAATGCAAGCATTGTACTATTGTCATGAAGAGAGAAATGAGCTGGAATGCAAAGCTTTCAATTTACCTGTCAGTGTTCCGGCCCTCACCTGTGCTCACAAGAACGAGATTTTGAATACAAGCAATTATCCAATTCAAGGGTCTAAGGACAGAGGATGTTGTATGCTGTACAGATTGTAAAGGCCCATGAGGCAAATTTGAGAGTTGTGCTATTAGATTATACAAATAAAAATTGGTTCTCTTTGTTATCTAATATCTCATTTCCATCAGTCTAATCTAGAACAAATCCCAGGGTGAGGAGTGTGACCCAGCAGTGGTTGAAACTCCATAGCTCTCGAGGGAACCTTAACCAAGTTTATCTCTCATCTGCCTTGTCAACACAGCATTGCTTCTTAATGGACCTGAGCTAACAGAGTAGTTCCCCCTGTGTAACCCACACACCTACTCCCCAGAGCAGCCATGAGGAAAAACTCACTGCAAATAAGTAGAACAGCACGAGGCCAGCGGAGTTAAACACGCCTCTGAGTGATGTTCTTGTCCTGATACAGGCCTCTCATTGAAAAAAAGACAAGTAACAATGAATTATATTCATATTGAAGCAGAGCCCAGAGTCTTCCATTGTGAATATCACCTTTCAATATTAACCTTTCACTAACAGAGCAGCTCTGTTAATAACAGAGTCTCAGTTATGACCTATATCTAAAGGAGACGTGTAGTTGCCCGTGTCCTAACCTTTCAGTGAGCATTCCCAGAGGCTGACCCCCAAATATTCCAGTGAAAAATATCTGCAGGTTACACTAAAGTCTGGCTCCTCTGTTAATCCCCCAGTCACTGCCAAAGTGAAAGACAGAAAGAATGAAACCAAGATCTACTCTTGACATTCTACATGTTTTTGTTAAGGAAATGGAACATTGAGTATGTTCTGAAAGGAACAGCACAGGAAATTTAAAAGTCTTGATCACTGTTATCGACTGGCAACCATGCCTACATCTACCTGAAAGGGCTTCCTGTTAAACAGCTGTTAAGTGTGGCAAATATTATAGTATTGCATTGAGGAAAATGTTCCAGTGAAGGAAAAGTTTGTCTCCACTTCACTAGTAAAACAGCAGCTGTATATCAGAGGCCTTGTAAGTAGTGAATCATTAACATCCAGATGTTACTTAATAAGTAAACTGTGATGAAAACATTAACATTCCTACCTAAAATGATCTTATGCTCTTTTTCCAGGAATCAGAGTATAATCCAAGTCAGGCCAGTAATCCAGTATAGGTCCCTGTGTCACTGTGGTGACTTCATTTGGCAGGAAGGGTGCAGAATGAGGTTTAGACTCATGCAGCCATGCAACAGTACATCTTCATCTGGAACAGAATAAAAATCACACACGCCTTTGCCCCAACATGTAGTCCTGGCTCCAAGATATAAACTCCAAGCACTGTTCCCACAATGCAGACATTTGTCCCATTGGTCAACAGATCTCATGAGGGACAGGTTGATGGGTAGTTGCATCAATCAATGAACCAATGAATCACTGAGCTGGCCTCAGTTCTGACAGACATCTTCAACACCTCGCTGAACCAGACCATTGTACCATCACGTTTCAAGAGTGCCACCATTATTCCAAAAAACCCATAATAACCTGTCTCAATGACTGTTGCCCCCCGGGCACTCATTCCCATCATGATTCAAAAGGCTGATAAAGCAGGGGGTTGTCTCCAAACCCCCCTTCACATTTGCCAAGTTCTAGTTTTCTTACTGTCCAAACCGCTCACAGAGGACGCCATCTTCTCTGTACTACATCTGAGCCTAAAACATCTGGAGGAGAAGAATACCCATGTGCGAATGCTGTTGATGATATCAGCTCAGCATTCAGCATGATCATCCCCCAGCACCTGGTAAACAAGCTGGTCCCCTGGGCTTCAGCACCACCCTGTGTTGCTGCTTCTTGACTTCCTCTCGGACAGGCCCAAGTCTGTGCATGTGGGAAATAACAACTCTTCTGTCATAACGCTATGTCCTGAGCCTTCTGCTGTTCACCTTGACCCACGACTGCATCACCAGGTCCACTACAAACCACATTTTCAAATATGCTGGTGATACAAAAGTAGTAGGGCTCATACGGAACAACAATGAGGTGGAGCAGCTGGTGGACTGGTGTAGTAAGCACAATCTGATTCTGAATGTCAACAAAACAAAAGAGATTGTCAACTTCAGGAGGAACCAGCCCAGTCATATGCCCCCCCACCCCCCAGTCTTCACCACTGTCTGCATATGCATGATGGAGAACATTATGACATACTATATCTTTGTCTGGTGTGGCAGCTGCACTGCAGTGGACTGGAAAACCCTGCAGAGAGTGGTGAGGACAGCAGAAGAGATCACTGGGACGTCCCTTCCCTCCGTCCAGGACACTAGACACAAACGCTGCCTGACATGTGCCAATAACACCATTAAGGACTGCATCCACCCCCCCTCCATGGACTGTTCTCTCTGCTTGCCTTTGGCAAGAGATATCACAGCCTCAGGAGCAAAACAGCCAGGTTAACATTCTCCAATCCTTTCACTTTTCATCTAGTGACATCTGGTCAATATTTTACTTTATCCAATACTTGGATACTTTTATTATATATTTTAACACTTTTAACACTAAACACTTAAAATGATGACATTCCCATCAGCTGCAATGCTGCTAATTACTGTATGCATGTTAAACTATGCTGTATTGCTCACTAACTCACCACTCCCAACATAAAGGATATCATTTAATTGAACAGTAACTTGAAATGTCAGTCACTTTGTGGTCATCATCACTTTGCATCATTGCATGGTGATTTTTACATCTTAAAAAGAGTGACACATTGCATTGTGGGATGGGGTCACGGAGCCAATCCCAGCCGGCTGCAGGCAAGAGGCGGGGACAGGTCGCCAGTCCATCGCAGGGCTAACACGCAGATGAACCACCACCACACCCACACCCACACACACACACTACGGGCAATTTAGCTGCCCCTTTTCTTGTTCCTTTGTGAAATTTTCTTGAGGGCACTTGTAGTGGATACATTTATACACTTACAACCCCAAATCAAAAAAAGTTGGGATAGTATATAAAATCTAAATTAGAACTGAAAATAGTGATGTGTAAATCATCTGTGTGACACAGGACTGCTCATGTTTGCTTTTCTCAGTAACCACTGATGGTCTAAAAGCTGTTTGAAATAAGTATTCATTTAATCAGATTTTTTAGACTAAATATGCAACTGCCTTGTTGTTTGAATAAATGGAGGATTGTGGCTGACTTGCTTAAGGGGTAGTATGTTTACAGCTCCAGCTGCTTGACCTAAATGTAACCAAACCAAATCCTACCCAGTCCACACACTGCAGAAGTCTGTAATCTCATCAAACACCTGCAGTTACCTGTAACTTGTCCTTTAACTCCCTCTCTTGGTGCTACCTCTGTAACCAGCTGGCTAAAATATGTCTGGTGATGTAGTTTCTCATTTCCACACAGGAGAAGTGCCAGAGCAGGGGAAGTGAGGTTTACAGCCTAGACACCTTTCTTCCATAAACTTCTCACATTCAACCAGTCAACGTGTCTCATTATCCAGGTCCTGATAATATGCTCACATTCTATTGTAATGAACCATTACAGCCCCTTCTCAAGCACAGGCTGTTTATCTGCAAGTCTTCCAGTAACAATTTCTTTTATTTAGAAAATGCAAATTCTTTTTCTCTACTTTTCCTGGTTTGGAAATTACCCAATCAGCTGGGAAAAAATGGCACAATACAAAATCTTGCTACTATTAAAAGTTCATAGTAGAACATCAACTTCTTTTACTTAGAACTTTATTGGGAAACTTTACACAAGATTATAGAATCATTATAAAAACATTTTTTCCACAGTGTTTTAGAGAATGACCTTTATACAAAAAGTACTACAGTATTTCTAAATGTCTCTTACAAGATGTTCTGCAGCTCAATCACTTTTGTTCCACAAGTTGCAACATCATAACATGTGAGTAACCATGTGGGACTTGTGCTCATCTGTTTGTACAGCTTCTGCACCCAAAACAGATGGGTCCACTCCCTCTGTGTGTGGGTGTGTGTGTGCATGTGTGTGAGTCACCATAATGGCTCAGTGGAGAAAGAAATTATTACAGACTGAGGAATAACCATTGCCTCACTCTGCCTGAACAGGTTGAATGAGTTTTTCCGAGAATACCCCGGAGTGATTTTCTAGATCCCTGTGCTGGTTCCAGCTCTCCTCCCTGATCCCCTTCACCAGGCCGTCCTGCTGTCAGACACAAACACATGTAAGATGCTAAAGAAGCAAATCACCCCTCTGATCAGATGTTTTCTGAATTTACTTTTGGTGTGACACAGCTCTTATTGCTAGGAGTTTTTCACTCAGTCAGCAACTACTTTTAGCCTTGTAATGCCTTGTAAATACAGCCCCGACAACATCAATCTGAAACATTGGACACAAACGTTGCCGTCTCCTTTTTCTCTCTCTCATTGTGACCTGTGATGTACACACTACCCCCTGGAAAACATATTCATCAGGCAACAAAAAAAGACAACATAGTGACTCAAAGACAACAAAACAGATCAACAAAAAAAACCCCACACTCAGTGCAGTCCTAAAAAACATTCAGAAACAGGTTCAGACTTTACAAGAAATGTGTCATACAAGCTTTACAAGACCACACACCAACCTCTTGAGTGCTAGCAAGCACCAGGATGATGTCTCCCTGTTCAAACTGCAGCAGGCCCTGTTCAGATGCTGCGTGGCTCTCTACCGCCACCCCCTGGAGGAAAGAACAGGACATCAATTCAAGCAAACATTGGGCATCATGATTTACGTCAGTTAACTTTAAAAGATTGGCCCACTCAAACTACTAAATAACATTTTCCAGGTTTTGACATATCAGATTCTGAGATTTTGTCTAAGCCAGTACAATGGGGGTAAATGTTTGGTTTGTGATGCTCGTACAGTGAAAAATTACATCAAGTCTGCAAATATACAAGTACACAAAGAACAACATTTTTCAGTACAAAGAAGCTCCAATAAAAAGCTTTCACAGGAAGACCTTTTAAATGTTGTTTTGTTAAAGCTGTAAACAACCACAAAGGAGAATTCATTCACTTCCTTTGTATTGGAGTAGAGGCAGAGATCTCAGGGTCATTTTTAAATTCATTTTGAGTAGTTCTGTGACCAAAAATAAAATAAAGTGTTTTGGCCACTTGGGAACAGTGGAAACAAGTTGCGAATACAACATTCTCGGATCATCAACTTTCAAGTTAATATGGTGAACTTGTTAGCTTACAGCTGCTTATTTACACATCCAGGAGTTTCACCGAGTTGTTTCTGGGGACCTGATGAATCAAAGTCTAATGCCAAATCACTTTTAGCTGTTTGAGGCATCTACCCCCTCAGGGAAATCTGGCTTTTTCTTTAGCTGCTAAATCTCTAAGTCTGAATGTGGTTTGGTGATGACTGAGCAGCGTACAGTGGGTTTATACAGCTTTGTCACTGCGAACAGCTGCCTGTGATGGAAAACAACACCATGAGTTTGGTGAGGCTGAACTAACACAGTCAAGTACTGGGTCCGACAGTAAACCAACGAGCTGTAACTTACTACAAAACTCTGTAAAGCTGAGTGGAACTGCAGATTCAGGTGATAATTCTCTGTGGGTTCATCGTTATAAAAAGTATTATAAAAATACAGATTATAGCAACAAAGTTGTGTACCTTGTATAGGAAGCCAGGTGGATTGTCAGTACTGGAGTCATCACCTGACTCCACTGTATCCTGATTGACTGGTTCTCCCTCGGTCTCCTTCTGCTGCTCAGCGGGTGAGCAGGACTGTTCTCCCTCTGTCTCCTCCTGCTGCTCAGCGGGTGAGCAGGAGTGTCTGTTTGTGGAGTGAGAGGAGATGCGAGGGGCAGGAACTGGTCCAGGTTTGGCTATGGCCTCATCTTCTGGGGGATCAGCTACATTCTCCTGCTCCGGAGTCTGTGGGGCATCACTATCTGCAGAATCAGAGAGGTTGGACACCTCCTGATTTGCAGTCTCTGACTTTGGGACTCCCACCCCAGAGTCATCCGACTGGTTTGTAGCAAATTCTGCTTCTGCATCTGCTTCGGCCACTGCATCCGCCGCTTCTGTACTTGGAACTTCTGAGCCCCTGTTGCTGTTCTCACTGTCACATACTGACTGCCTCTTGGGTGTGTTGGTGCCACTGGAGCTGAGATCAGAGTCTGAGGAGTGGACATCTTTAGATGAGACACTGCTCTCTTCTGGTAGGCTCGTTTCTTCAGAAGCGCTTTGGGTTCTTTGGGCAGGAGAAGAGGGCACCGCGTCTTTTCCATTTTGGGTGGAAGAATGAAGGGAGACATGGTCGGCTGGGAATGCTGTATTGCAGGGAATGGGATTGGAGATGACTAGGGACTTTCTCTTCTTTGACTTGCCTGAAGTGCTAGTTGAAGAAAAAGTAAATATGTTAGAGTTTAATGCTTCATATTTTAATGTCTTAAATTTTATAAATTGACCAGAGTAGCCAGAAAAGAGCTCATTTCCATGAGTTCCTCAGGATCCTGAACAGAAATGTTAGACAGGCAGCATGAAGTATGTATTTTATTTACTTACAAGATCCCATCTGTTGTTGGCAACACTATAACCACGGATTAGGAAGCGTGAAACACACTGCCTTACCTGTTCAGACCCTTGATGATGAAAGCTTTTCCGGAGTGTTGAGTCTCCAGTTTCTTCATCACATTGTAAATTTCACGGTTTAGCTGCGAAGCAAAGTGCAACATAAACAAATAATGCAATACACAACTGTAAATCTGTAGTTGTAATGGCTGGCATAACAGCTTTTACACCTATATACTTCATATTACCAGTAAGAGTGATGAAATGAACAGATCTGTGTCATATCTTACCACGCTCATTTCCTTATAGAAGACATCTCTCAGGTTTGATACGTTTTGGAACACTGTCACATAGCAGCCTATACGGCTACAGAGACAAAGACAGTTAATCCACATGGATAAGGGATCAAATTCCATTGGTAAGGTCTCCAAGACACTGAGACTTTCAAATGAATCAAGAATAACAAGGATTATATTAATGATGTGTTTCTGTGCTGTTGCCTGACCTGTACTGGATTATTGAGACTAATACCAATGTTTGAGAATGAAAAAAAAACAAACAAAAAAAAACATGACAATAATCTTGGTGTAGACGCCGTAGGTTTTTTGTTTAAGAACTATGACCCAGACACAAACTAAGCAGAGCACATTTGTGGGGGTCAACTTGTCAGTGCGTTTTGGTGGACAGACTGCAATGATGACGTTGTTTCCACAAACTTATTTTGGCATTTTAGGCATGCACCAGGAACCCTTGTTGCATGTCATGATTCCCATCATTACTCAACTATCTGCTATTAATACAGACAAGAACTCCCGAAATAATAATACTAAAAAGACAAATGTCATGAAAACCAACTTTTCATCATAAATTTAATCTGAAAATTTATAGTAAGTGTGTATGATTTCAGGTTTCCATTTACTGACACCTATTCCAAATGTTTTAAAAAGCTGAAATTTGACTTTTTCTAATATGACTCACTGTATTGCTTATTTGCACATCTTCACACACACACACACACTTTTCACATAGTGTAAATTCTAGTCAGCCCAAGTACCACGTTTTGGTTTTGAATACACGAGTCACTTGCACACAGATATGCCATGTTTACTTATCTTGTCATGATTTAAAATTCCACTTTGTGAACCATATTGATTTGCAGCTGTGTGGATGGTCGACCATACCTCTGATACAGAACAGGCAGCTCCTCCCTCAGCTCATTATTTATTTCTTCAAAGACAGCCTGGGCCTTATTGAACTCTTCTTCTGCCTGTTACGCAGGATATGAAAGATTTTTTAAATAAAACAAATGCTCTTTAATCAATTAACACTCTGCATTTCTGTGTTATGTGTACTGTAATGCTGATACGACCTTTGCTATTTTGGCTTCGTCTTTTTTCTTGGCACTCTGTAGCGCCTCCAGGTGGTGACGTGCTGAGTCGTAGTCCACCAACTTGCGACCACGTTTTGCAACTCGCTCCTGAAAAACAGACAGCGGTAGAAGTGTTACACTGTACCAGCAAGAGAACAGATCATACCACCACATGTCATCAAAAATAACACAGTTGTGCTTAAGCTACAAAGCATGAGGTTACCTTGACCTCAGGGAACTGGCTTGTATAGTTCTCCATTGTGCGGACTATCTGGTCACTCAGTTTCTCTTCATAGTCATTCCACAGCAAATCTTCACTCTAAGAGAAACAGTGATACATCAGTGCAACAGCAGCAAGTCTTTCTAACTGCACAGACGTGAACCAAGCCAGAAGCATAATTTTAATAAGAGACTGCACCACAAGGAAAATAGGAAAAGCTTCACTCGCTCAAACTAATCATTTACATAGCCAGTCACCTATGCAGATGGACTGTGATGCTCCTCAAGTCCAAATAAATTAATTCCTCAACCACTACTGTAATGGAAGAAACACGGTCCATAATCAAAAAGACAACTAAAAAAAAAAAAAAAAAAAAGAGTTAAGCCTCATTTTAATTTACCAAAAACTGATTCTTTTATTCCATACTTCACTTACAGCTACAGCAACAACTATGCTAAAACAGCTCAATGAATATACTGTCAAAGAGGAACAGAAATGTCAGCATGTCAGTATTTAAAGTTGCACTAAATAATATTTTCATATGAATAACATAACTGTGTAATGTGAAAAGGATTACTCAGAGTCTGCACAGCATTATTGCCCGACTCTGCTCTTTCCTGCAGCTCTACAAACCATTTTAGCATTTTTAGGCTAATTGTTTTGATTTTATGGGCCAAAACTTTACAGTTATGGTTCACCCTGTCTGTTCTCAATTCAGTCTCATTTCCAGCAGCAGCAGCGAATTGTTTCAGTGTGAAGGCTGTGATATCAGCCTGTACACCAGAAGCGTAGCACTAAACAGACAAGTGGAACTAGCAGGTGAACAGAGTGGTGCAATTAGCAGCTAAAGAGCCAAAGTTATCCTCAGAACTTGGTAAAACTAATCAGAGCTCAAAGGAGAATGAATATTTGACTTTCATTCGTAAAGTTTCATTCAATAACCTAGGGAAATATTTGTCATGTCAACTTTATAAAGCCATAATATGCCAGTGACCCCCATGTGGCCATTAAAAAAAAACAAAAAAAAACAGCTTAAAGCTTCTCCATTGTACTGCACATAGATGTCTGTTGCCAAAATGAAAAAACTAATTTCCTAAATATACACCTGACTTTAGAGATTAAATAAAATTATGTAGCTTTGTTTGTCTGCTGGCCTTCAGGTGTTCCAGCAAACATTCATAAAAACACATCCTGGAACATACTTCTGCAATAACAGCAAGGTCGTCCACCCCGTTCCAGTCCGATTCGTAGATGTCTCGCAGCGTCTGGGACAACCGCTTGGATGTATCGTGCACAGCTGTGGAAAACAGCAGGAAATTGTAGCAGCAGAAACATCTTTATATGTAATCCTGACTGCACACGGATCAACTTCTCATCTAGCATCAGAGCAGTGTGTCAGTATTGTTTTTAGGGTTTGTGGCACTGTTGCTACACCCACACCAAGAAGGTCAGAAGAACACAGGCTTCCTGACTGAAGCACACCATACAGGAGCAATTGCTGGCAAAACAACAAGCACAATGGTTTCTTGCAAAAAACCACATATGCAGTGCTGCGTCTGCTGTTTTTTTACTGCAAGATTTGTTTGTTCTGGTATAAGTTGGTAATGCAGACAGAGTTGCAAAAGTTGAAAAAGGAACCAAGAACAGAAGAAAGTCACTTCCCTATTATTCACTTACCCTCCCTGGAGAAAGAATCGGGCTCTATTAGCAATGCTGTGTGTCTGTATATGTTGTATATGCTTTCAGAACCTACCCTTCACTGCTGTGTGGTAGGCTTTCACATCTTTAAACAACCGGCTACCATCGATCTGTGCACAAAAGCATAACAGAAAAATAGGTTCAGTGACAGGATCTCTGTGGGTGAACTATGCCACTCATGCTTTATCATTTCCTCAACAACACAAAATGATGTTCAGGTGCTGACTGCTTTTTCTTTGTAGTGTGATGTTTTCTGCATGAAGTTGGGAGTGACATATTTTTAATTCAACACAACTGGACCACAGTGTCAAGTTTAATTAAATAACAAACACCACATCCGATGTGGTGATGGCAGTAGTGAAGTGAAAGCAGAGTCTTGTCAGCACACAGACTTCCTTCCTGTGCTGCTCCACTCAATAATATACTATAGATGTTGCCGTTAACACTGAAAGACCCTTGAACAGCCATAAAGGGAACCTCATATGCTTGCCTAACAGAATACACATAATATGACATAAGATATAATATAATATATAACAGTTTCATAAATATTAGTATATAGCATGTCATTCCTTTTAGCACTGATGGTAGTCTGTGTGCAGGTATCTAGAGGAGAGACACTGTGCAGTATTCATTGTGAACAGATAAAAAAAATAATATTTGTTTCAAGTATTTCCTGCTTTCAAGGCCAATCTGACTGTCTGAACTTGTAGGCTGGCATCTGAATGAACAAAAACAAAACATTCAGCAGAAATCCATTCATCTTGACAACACTAAAATAAGGTGTTCAGCACTAAAAGCAGGCTTTATGTGACCTTTATCCTAGTCTCACATTGAATAGCGAAGTACTACTGTATGTATAAAGACCTTCTTATACTGAAAAGATAAATGTGTTAGGCACCTGCTGTTTGTTGAGATTTTGGAAACACAGCTCAAACTGTTCATCCTTGGTCTCCATGGTTTTGCCCAGTTTTTGAAGGACCTGATAGAAGACAACAGAGACAGAGTGAGTAAATAATTATTAGAACCACATTGATGAACTGACTGGCTAATTAATCAGCTGATATTAGCTTACTGCAGGTATATTTGTATCTGTGAATAGGTTGGTTAATAAGTAAAAAGAATCCACAGTACAGAACCAAACTAGATTTTAGATCATTTGGAAGCTAAGAGCACGAACACCATAAGAAAACAACAACAACAACTTAAAAAGAAAACAGCCATGTTATTTATCTTTAAGAAAAACTTAATTGGTTGGCATATCACCACCAGATTTTTAATGCCTGGAATCTGTATCAGCCTCAAAAATCCTGCATCAGTCAAGTTATAATGATTATACCCTCACTGATAGATGGTTATTTAGGCTGATAACAATACTGATTTAAAACTGTTTTTAAAAATCTGATACCATAAACAAAAACAATTGAGATTATTTTTGATCCCTTAAATTTGTTTTTATAGGTAAATGTGACAGCAATAAATAACTCATTCTAAACTTGAAAAAGAAACGCTCCCTGGTGTGATGCAACTCTGTTTCTTCTTACTTATCAGCCCACATAGACGCGCCAAACTGATACATCCGCAGTAAACTGACAGTCTGGCCAGTGTAACAAACTAATGTACTATATACCACTATGGCTTACCTAAATTAGGACATGCTAACTGTTACAGGGTTCTTCACAGCCCACTGAATGCAGCTGTTTGAAACACTGACACATTTCATGACCTTTAGCTTTAAATCTGCAACAAAGGCTCTCATTATCATGACTATCCTCCCATTTTCAAGAATTAAAAAACCCTAAATAGGCTTCAGTATTGCAGCTTCAAAATACAAGGAAACTCCATTGTATGGTTGCTGTTTTTAGGTGGAGCAGCAAATATCACACAGGTCAACCACAAACTGAGTGAGAAAGGCTCAGTAAGCGAGAGGAAGTGCACTGTCAGGAAGTGACAGCTTTTGTGTCCACACAGCTGTACACACCACTATGGTGCTCTGACAGGGAGAGTTTAAGATAGTGTTTTATTAATGCATTAGCATAATAGTGGCAATCGTTCAAAACTGTAAACAGATAACACACAGGAGACAACGAGCATGTGGTGTACAGTCTTGTACAGAGAGCTCTCCCTTTATCTTATGGTGTGTATCACACATTCTGAACCTTTATCTGGTGAAATCCTGTTAAAGACTGGATATGATTTTATCCTCTCAACATGGAGCATTTCACTGTTACAGCTTGACCTAGATAACAGTGGGTGACTACACAGTGGGAGGGTAACAGCTACACAGGACATTCAAGAGCAAAATAACAGTACTTCAAAAGAATAAAAGAGCCAAATTCTTTAATTTTCCTATTTCTTCAGGAGGGTAACAGCTACACAGGACATTCAAGAGCAAAATAACAGTACTTCAAAAGAATAAAAGAGCCAAATTCTTTAATTTTCCTATTTCTTCTAAGGACCACTTTTTCTCAAGGAATTCTCTGGACCCTGCATCTCCCTGTTTCTGTTGTAGGCTACTACAAGCTATAGCTTTTTCACATACATTCCATATTGTGGTTCCAAATAAAAGTAATTCCAAGCAGAAGCAGAGCTTCTTTGGGGCTGACACCACCACCAAACTTGATGTCAGGGCTTCTGGCGCTAGGCTGACTCAGTGCAACTGTACAGAGTTCATTTTCCTGGCTCACCTTCTCCTGAGCTCGACTCAAAGACTTCTGGACCCGTTTGGCGAGGAATCCAGCTCCAGCCTGGATGTTTGGGCCCATTTTATTCTCTGCCATCGTCGGTGTTCTGTGGGTTTCTCCTCACTGAGCGCAGTCCGCCTTCCGTCTGCTTCCTCTCCAGAAACTGACTGAACTGCGACTTCAGTTCAAGGCGATGGAGGTGGAGCAATAATGTAAGTCAAGACACACGGGCACCCAGCAGGCGGTGATCAACCCAGTTAGAAAGCTTTCACACCGTTATAATCAGCAGGAGCCTGCTCTTTTGTTCAGACTTGTTCAAGGAATAATTGAGGACTGTTTCTGCGTGTCCCAATCTGTCGAGGAAAAAACACCGTCCACACTGTTGCAAAACTTCATGACAAAACCATATTTGCAATCAGATAAACGTGGAAGTCAGCCAAACCCACTCACCTGGAAATTATGTGCAGATTGTGTTTCTCTGATGATGCTTCGTCTACCTGATTCGGCAAAGTGACGTCAGTAGGTGAGCCGTAATTAGCAAAGGTGAATGAGATGGTGCTTTCAAATGCGCCTCAGAAACCCCATGTTTTCAGTTGACGTGTTAGAAATGAGCGTACAGGATTGTACAAGGTTTTGTGTGGCAGCCATAGGTTTTCAACGATTGTTAATTTATCGAAAATAAACATTCCTTCATATAATTCAGCGTTATATTAATTTGTGTAACGCTTCTGACTATCCTGTTTCGTAACTGATACTGGTAAGCTCTCACAATGCCTCGTCAGTTGTTGGAGAGCTGAGCTGCCCTGCTTGCTGTGTTGGCAACTATTGACACATCTGCTTCTCATAAATAGTTACATGACAAACAGTTCCACCCAACGTGACTACTTCACAAGGAAACAAGACGCTCTGCATGACATTTTATTAAAATGTTCAGTGATAGAGGCCTGCAGTAGAACTCATAGCTTCACCGACTGAACTTCTACTCTTACTCCATAGCCCACAAACTTCCTGATAGGCTACAATTCTTGTATTGACTAAAAGCTATGTTATTTGTAAATTCAAATAGGAGGGAAAGGTCTGTCACTGTTTTGGTGTAAATGTTCTGTTAGGTATTTTTAGTCAGATAGATATTGGATAAATGCTTTATGTATTAGAAATGTTTAGTGGAGATAGGATGTCTAGTTAGACTGTTAAATGCTTAGTCATGCTTATGAGTTTCTACAGGGTACATCTGGTCAAGGATAACTAGAGAGAAGAGTTGATGACTGTCAGCAGACAGGGTGTTTAATATTATTATTATGACGTGTAGAACTGTAGCCTTAGCCATAATATGTTCTTATGTTTAAGTCACGACATGTTACTAGAGGT